TTTCCCCAACAGTGACAATTTTTGGAGCCAGTTGCTGTCAAGCTGTCATGTCTTGACAGCTCTGTAGGAGGAACAAAAGGCCCATCAGACCGAAGATGATTTGTAAACAATGAAGAAGGAGTGTTTGCCAGCCTGCTATGTCTGACAATGTAAAAAACTGAGGTCACATTGCCTGTGGTTGGCACATAGAGAGCTAGCCTTTAAAGTGTCAGCTGCATCCTATGTGAAGGTGCAAGAAAATGTTTTATTAAGAGCAGAATTTGGCTTCTTATTAACTCTCAGGGTTTTGCTGGCTCCTTAAGAAAATCACTTGAACAACACCCTTCTCATTAGGATTCTGTATTCTCAAAAGGGACAGTAAAATCACAGCATTTCTTGCAAATTCAAGATGCTTATTTAAAAAAAAATATCTAATTCATGTTCTCAGTGTTTTCAATGTTTTTGACATCTTCAGCATTAAATTAGGCAAAATATTGTAATTTTTCCTGTTCTCCCACTAAGAACTTGGTTGCTGATTAATGTCTTTGGTGGAGAGTGGGCAAAAATTAATGCATTAGCAATGTAACAATGAAATCAAAGTGAATTAGAGTAGCATTATATAAAATAAATTGTGTTTTGTTAGTACTGTGTAATGTTCTTTTAACTGATGACAATGATTTATTTCTGCTAAGATGAATGATGAAACTAATTGGTGAATTGCTGGATAGATGCTTTGTTAAATTAGTCCCATATTCAATTTGGAGTCTTAATTGCTTTGTGTGCTTATTTGTCATTGAATTTGCAAGGGTATGTGCAGGTTCTTTTGTTTACATGAATATGAACTGGAACATCTTCACTGATTATCAGTGGATTTTCATTGTTTTAAACCAGGGAAAATGAAACAATGGGGCCTTTCCATCTTTGTTTTTGTTTGGAGATGCCTTTTAAAAACCCCTTTATGAAATCCTCTTTGAAATTATTTGAAACTTACTTTTTAAGAGACTTTATCCCGCTTATTTCCAATATGCAAGGTGGTTTTAGTTAACAGTATTTGCATATTCTGGGGTAATGATAGCTTAAAAAGATAGGGATGAGTTGGTCTTTGTTTTTACTTTTTCTCTATTACACGAGGTAAACTGCTGCTATGCTATTTTTTTTTTCTAGTCCACCCACAAGATTCCAGCTGTTTGTTAAAATTTTATGAATGAAGAAAATAACAGATGTGTTGGCGATGAAAATAAAGAGTTTCAGGAAGCAAATACTAATGGAAATGCTTTTGTTACAACTTTACAGCCCAAAGCCAGCATTTGTTAGGCCGCCTTTATAATTCTAAGGAGAGAAACAACTGAGCTTTTTGTGAGCATTTAGCATAGATGACAGCTGGGTCCCTACAATGTGAGAACTTAGATGCTGTAAGCTATATACTGACAGTTTGCCTAGCAAAGAGTTACACTGTGGGAGTTAAAGAAGGAAAGCACGAGGAGGTTCTTGTAAGTCCTGTGAAACATATTTTGCTGGTAATAGAAACCTAGAAGCAAACTTGGGTTTACTATATAGTATTATCTCTAAATAGAACCATCATCTTAGAAGTCTAACACTCTTGATTGAAAATTGCCTGTTACTGAAATTACAAGGAATGCCCAAGTCTATTTTACAAAATAGTACAACTGGTTTAATTCTGGAGGAAGCTGTAGCATTCTTCTAATCCTTCAACCCCAACATAACGTTCAAAAAAATCTGAAGGCAGATCACCCACACTATGAAGATAGCATAAGATCACTTGGCATGAGGAAACAAATCATTATTGGAGCCTCTCTTCGATGTTTTTTTTTTTACCCTTAGAGGGATAAAATAACTCCAGATTTTGATAATTAATTAAATATTAATTTCAACCTTAAATCCACAGCGCATACCCTGACAAGCCAACTGTAGGAATAGCTAGACGATGCAGGGAAACATCTTGAAAGCCCAGGAGTGATGTGGAAAGCTGGTAACAAGCTAAGTAGTTCTACTGCACCTTAGGGCTGGAACTACCTTTAGATTAACTGCGTTGCAATTTTGTTTAAGCTTTTTGCACCTCCAATTTTGGGCAGCCCAAAGGAAGGAATGAGCTGAATGCTTATGGTAAGTCACAGAATGAAGCCCACAGCGTTTTAGTTTTGAAGAGCCTATAAGTGCCTTTATCTGTGCTCTGTCCCATGAGTATCCTTTGGATGTGGGGGGAGAGGAAGGTGTGCCATCACACTAATACCCTGCAGCAGAGGTGGAAAAGATAAATGGCTTTTTTAGAGAGAAAAAGGAGCCATATGTTTCATAGTTACTTATGGACAACACTTAAGTTCAAGACTTGCATGATTTGTGTATGACCAGGCAGTTTGTTTGGATGAAGAGGCTCAGGGCAGAGTTCATGAAATGCCCCTGCAGTCCCAGCAATAATATAGATCTGTGATTTAAACATTTGAAGAAAAATCATGTGCAAGATAACAAATGCAGGTTTCTCCTAGGTCATCCTAAGCAATTGCTCTTCATTAAGCTCAAAGGAGCTGAAATCCCACCAAGCTGCTGGGACACTTAATCCTTAGGCCTCTATGACCTCCCCACCCCATTATGGTGCTAGAGCTAGGTCTTTTGCAGAATGTCTGTAGAAAGACTATAAGTGTGGTCTTCTGGAAAATGCACCCGTTGAACATTTTAAGGTAAACTGGCATGTAGATTGTGTCTGATGTCTGTGCCATGTGAACTTTACAGGACTCTGCTGAGTGAGGCATAAGTGTGGGCTCTTGTGGGTATGCTGGCTTTTCACAGAACTGCGTTCAGCCTCGTTTTCCTCCTATGTCCACAGAGTGAGAGGATTCCTTTGCAAGTTAGGCAGAGGGACAGCTACTGTGGTGATTTTATCTGCCCCTTCTACTTTCCTTTGGCTCCCCCAAATCACCCTGGCAGCCCTGATCTTGTTCTTTTTTTCTTGGACTCTCTGAAGGACAAGAGTTTCAAAGCTTCATGTCACACCATGGCAGAAATAAAAGTATGTATGCAAATGACAACTAATATTATTATCCTTGAACATAACGGGATATAAGCCTCCCTTGAAGGACAGCAAGTTGTCTCAAGCAATCTCAAAGGCTGTTTGCAAGTCAGAGAATTCCAAAGCATTTAGTAACTCCTAAATGTTTATTTTGGGGTGTCTAAAGCCACTTGACATGTACTAGAGCTACAGAATTTATGGGACAGTGTGTCCACAACTCTTAAAAGCAAGACTTAATGACTGCTGCCTTTGTCTGTGATTTGTCACAGTCTTACCTTTGTATAACTAGCTGTCTGGGAAGGAGCTTTGATATATATTGAATAAGAAAGGTACGTTTTTTTATAAGACGTATCTCTTCTACATTTCCTCTGATTCCCATCCTCTCCCCCCCCTCCTTTACTGAGTGTGTGAGCTCTCATTTGGTCAGGGTCACCTCAGAGATGAGATGTCCTTTGAATCTCAAGATATGCTCCTAGTTCAATAACTGTGCAAATTAAAAACTGTTCTTGAGAAGGCAGATGCAGAACAAGACTGCAGCTGCATACTTAGCATTGCTCTGCCATGTTGTCACTCACTGGGTTCCTAGTGGTGGCTGGGCTTCAGGAAACTAAAATTTGTTTTTCTGCTTTAGCATGTCTTAATCCAGAATTAGAAAAACGCTTTAATATTTTTCATTAGAAAGCAGGTAGTGGCTTTATACTGGCTGAATGGAATTTAGTGTGCTGACAAAAGAAGATAAAGCAAATAAATCTAAGGAAGAAGTAAGACAGTAGAGATAATTCCTAACAAATACAGTTTGTGCTATAATGCTGGATCTGTTTCTGGACCGTGTACGCTATTGCAGTGCCTGATGAATACATGATGCAATGTTAGACGTTGTTCTGTACATGTAAGTGAGGACAACTGCTGCCACCATTCTACCTTGTCCTCCTGGAGATAATTGTTTTGTGGTGGTGGAACCCTGTTGCTGTGGCATCTGCATTCTTGGAGACCTGTGTAGTAACTTCTGTGTCTACTGCAAAGTCAGGTTTTGACAGGGTTGATACATAAAAAATCCCTACACAATTTTTTGCATTAAGAGAATATTAACTCTTGTGTTGTAGACAAATTCCATTCTGTAACTGAATCACAGTGCTTTAAATTCATGTGTATTTTCACCAGCTTTTTGGTTTTTATATGTTGGGCTGCACTGTGTGCTGTTTAAATGACTGTCCTGACCTCACTAAAAGTGAATGACTTGGGGTTAACAGGAACATGTCCCACCCATAATTTTAGGATCCTCTGGAATGAAGACAACAACATAGATCTAACTTATTACTGTGTTTGATACATAGGCTAGTGTGACAATTTGGCCTTGTTCTTTTATGCCCTGCTAAGCAGCTACAAGAGTTCCTTGGTTAAAATGGTCTATTTCTAATTTTAATTTATCCTGTGTCTGGGCAACTGAGTGTTTAAGGAGTTGCTGTCAAGCTCTAAATATCTTTGTCTAAGGCTTCAGAGTGGCTCATCCCAGCAACACAACCACAGAGAGAGCTAGGCTGACTCCCTGTTCCTTCCTTCCTTTCTTCCCCAGTGCTTTTTGTGTATCAGCTTGGGAAGGTCACTTTCATGGAATTCTGCCCCCACCCCCCCTCCCCGTTTTTAAATTTTTTCCTGTTGTCTTATTTCCCCTGTGTCCTTGCAGCTTGGCTAGAAGGCTCACTCTGACTGCCTGGCTTGGTCAGTATCTCCATCAGGACCTTAGGCAGTTTTGGTTTTGCGTAAATATTATCAACTTCTGAATCACATCTGTTGTGTCCTGCTTTAGGGAGTGGGGATAAGACCTGTCCTACATCTACTTACCAGCTAATTTCTATACTTTGTTTTTTCCCTAGCTCCTAATTCTCCCTTTTCTTTCCTCACTTTGAGCCCTGCCAGCTCCCTGGCTTCTCCAGGAGCAGCTGCTACAAAGATGTGTGTGTTCTCTGTAAAACTGGTGCTTGTTTTGTGTTGCTAGGCTACTCCCTTCCAGCTGCCACTGAAGAAATGCTCTGTGGTGGGAAACGGTGGGATCCTGAAAAAGAGCGGCTGCGGCAAACAAATAGATCAAGCAGATTTTGTCATGCGGTAAGACAGAAACGTGAATGACACATTGTCTCCCTTTCCCCTTGTTAAGTCTTGGACTTTTCAAAACTAGTCAGTTGTGATTAATCAGTTATAATTTGCCTTGTTTCCCCAGCCCCTTTGCAGGATGCTTTACATGAGTGATTTGGGTCAAAGTGTGAGGAGAGGCAAAAAAGAGAGTCTTGACTGGCTTCTGTAAATGGGGATGTAATGTGGGGGGACTATCTGCAGATGGGTGGGTTCAGGTTGTGGCAGATTGTTCAGTGTCACAAAGAGGTACTGAGGAGCTGCTTTTTTAATTATGCAGCGTTACTTAGGGTCTCATCCTACACCGTGCTCTGTCCTCTGCAACTCTAAATGCCATCATATGCATCAGTAGATACTGATTTATAGGGAAAGGCTTAAGACGTGAGCTAGAACAAGCTAAAATCTCCCTGTTTTTTTCTTCCCTTAAGATTGACTTCTGGATGGCTGACTGAAGATAGGCCAAACCTTTCCTCCTTTTCCTGAAGCAGAGTTTTTGGGATTCCTCACATTTCCTTTCCCTCCAGCCTTCCTAAAGTTATAAGAACCTGTCAGGAGGGATGTTGAAGCAGCTACTGCTTTTGTGATTGAATTTGGCACCTTCTGTGTCTGCATTCTGTAAGGAAGAAAGACAGAAATTAGTTCCTCCCTGTTAAACATGAACAAGGGAGAAACTGGAGGAATGCTCCCAAAGAGATGAGAAATGGAGTTTCTTTGGGGGTTTGAGATGGTTACATAATGAACACCCATTTTAGCAAGTCTCCTTGTGAGATCCTGGTGGCTTATTATAAAGCCAGACAAATTTTCTGCAAACTAAACAGTGTTATTATAATTTCTGGTTTACAACTCAAAGACCCAAAAGTGTTAAAGCAAAGGAATACAACAAACTAAAGGCAAAAGGAAACGTATACTCAGAATATTTACAGAAGAAAAGATGTAAGGCATAGAGGGAGAGGCAGTGTGCTGATTGCCATTACTGCAAAACTCCTGGGGTGTTCCACAGGCTAAATACAAGAAGCTGCAAGGTATATACCATGGTAATATTATCTAGGTGCAAGGGGAAATTGGAATGCTGCAGGAGCAATCAGTAACAAAACCAATAGAAACTTCTTTGGTTTTTTGGTTTGGGTTGGGTTTTTTGTGGGTTTTTTTTTCTTTTTGTCTGTTTTTGGTTTTGGTGGGTTTTTTTTTTTTTTTTTTTTTTCCTAAAAAAAACCATCAATTGTTGCAGTTTGATCAGAAAAATCCTTTTCTTTCCAGGCAGGGTAAAGCACGTGTTCTGTTACACGCACAGAACTTATTTAGAATTGAAAATAAGTGACAGGGAGAATCCTGCAAACATCCCAGTAGCTGCCTGCAGGCTGTATTGTATCAGTGATGTGCAGTCATATTTATGGAAAATGTTTCAGTTCTTTTGGGTCACAACTAGTGCACTACTGGGAGAAAGTGTTTTTATAGCAGGTGGAAGACAGGATTTAGTTGATCTTTTCTAAAGCTGATTTTGATAATCTGAGAGCTGAGAGAAAGAGCACAGCAGTGACTTGCATAACATCTTTCATTTATTAAAAAAGAAATTTGTGTAACATCTTGAAAATATTTCCGCAGTGCTAAATGTCATGCCAGGTATTGCCCTTGTTCTGTTCTTCCATTCATGCGGCTTTTGATTCCACTTACGTGTACTTCCAAAAGCTCTGTCATATGACTGCAGCCATCGTCTCTGATCTATTACAATCACCAGGATTAATTAATGAGTTTAAACTCATCTTGTTGCTGAGAATCTTCTACAAATACAGTTGTACTGACATAGAGATTAAAAGAGCAGCAGTTTTCAGGCCCTAAGCCATAGCACGCTGCATCTGCAATGAAAAAGGTGCATGGCATTTGGTCTACACATTTAGGTAGCATGGTTATAATAGTCTTTCCTGATATCTGGCTAGTTTTCAAGTTTATAGTCTTTATTTCTAAGAAAATAAATTTATTTTTCCCCTCCCTTAATGCTAATGATTATTTTGAGAGAGAAGTGTTGGGTACTAAATCCTAGGCAATGTTTTTGTCTGTATTTTGACAGAAAAGCCACATTTTTCCTGGCATTAGATTTTGAGGGAATATTTCTACATCTCATAATTCTTTCTCATTTTCCTCCAACCACTTACCATGGCTCTGCTGTGGTTTGCTTGTCTCCCAGAGAGGTGGAGAGACTGCACTTTGGGGTTTGTAGACAAGTAAACATGGCTTTCAGCTGCCTTATGCAGTTACTGTCTTGATGTTCGCCAAGGTGCCATAAAGGAAAAAAAAGAATGTTTGCAATTACATATTAAATTCATATTAGTTCCTAGTGTTTAGTATATGACACCATTCAAAAATAGTCACATAGCATCTACCAAACACACATGCATCAGCCAAGTTGCCTGGATTTTCTGCACCTGCAGGAAAAGAGACTTCTGTCTGGACCAAACCCAGAACAGCCATTTCTGGCTGGTGAGGGTTGAAGGATCTGTTTCATTTTACCCTTGCAGCTGTTCCTACCCATTGAGTTGGAAGATCTCAGATGTGAAAAAGACATGGACCACTGTGCCTCTGGATGATTTCCTCATGCACAGCTCCCCCCCACACCCTCGAAGGCTGTGTCTAAGTCATGTTTTTCTATATAGCAGACCAATATGTCTTCGTTTGGGCTTGTATCAGACTTGCTGGCCTGAAATGCCTGGTGCTTCCTTCTTTCCTGCATGTTCACATACTTAATCCTGAGAGCAGAGGCAAGAGTAAGATAATGAAAAAGAAATTTCTTAGGATGAGTCTTTTGTTTCTTGGTATGTTCATCACCTGTACAACGCTCAGCACTCTGCTGACCTGTTCAGGAAAATAATCTGAAAAGCCAAGAAGTTTTGGTCAACCAACTAATTTCTTGCAGTTTCCTCTGGATATCAGGCCATTTCTTAATATTTCATGCAGACAAGGTGGGAATGTGTGTTACTGATGAAAGGAATTAGATGTGTTTAAATAATGCATCTGAGACTGGCCTGTGAAAGACATTTCATTATTGAGATGTTAAGATGATAAGAACTAGGGAGAATTCTTGGTCCCTCACAGTGCTATTAAATACGCTTCAACTAAAATTGGCTTCTTACAAGTTTGCCTATGAGTTTGTGTTTATTCAAAGCAGAAAGCATTGAACTGTAATCTGCCAGAGGTCATTTATACCATCTTTCTTCTCTGAGGCATGCCACCTATATATCTTGCTTCACCAATGTTTGACCTGCATTGAAAACTGCTGCTGAGAAGGTTTCTACAATCTCTCCAAATAGTATTGATTGTATTAAATTAATTTGTATGCTACCCAGTGCAGGTGCAGGAAGCAACTCATTGCCATTTTGTTTTGGTTTATTGTTTTGGTTTATTGTTTTGGTTTATTGTTTTGGTTTATTGTTTTGGTTTATTGTTTTGGTTTATTGTTTTGGTTTACTGTTTTGTTTTATTTTATGCAAACCTTTCTTGACTTTTAAGGTTTTGTGGGGTTTTTTTTCTGTGGGTTTTTTTTGGTGGGGTTTTTTGTTTGTTTTTGTGAGACCTCTTATTTTGATTCCTTTTTTCTGGCTTCTTTTTAAGTTATCTAGCTTCTCTTAAATTGTGGTAGATCAAACTAGAAACTGTTTCCTAACTGAAATCTCAACACATTGTGTGCATCTTAACAAATGTAGTCATAAGAAGAAGAAAATATTCCTTGAAATGTTAAGATTTTTCTTGTTGAATGCGTTTGAATTCATCTATGTTCCATATTAGGTGGGACTTTGCTGTCCTCCTCCTTGGCATTTCCTGATGATGTGAATTTAAGCATATAGTTTTAAGAGCTTGTATTTGTATGCAAATACATGCAGATGTAGCATGACAGTGTTTTTTCGTCAGGGAGTCTGGATGTTTTGCATTAACAAATGTAGCAGAGAGGATTCTGCGTGCACACTAGTGCCCTCTCCCTTTGACGTTGCACAAAACTGAAACACATGGAGGTGCAGCCAGGGCTTTGTGTAGCCTCATTTGCTGAGTATGTTTCTCCTGACTAATTTTTGGAGCAGTGCGTAGGCTTGGTTACTGTTTGAATGTACTTTCATCTTTATCTGCTGCACCTTCCTCCTTTTCCTAGGTCTTTGCTATGGAGCATTTAGGACTTCATTGTCTGGAAGATTCTCTCTGCTTCTGTTGTTTTGAGTCTTGGCTCTTTGCTTTCCAAAGTAAATTTGCTCAGTCACTTTTTCTTTATTACGTTATCACTCTGTCCACCAGAACAAGACTGTGAGATGCACATATTTAAACAGCCACTTAAAATTTTTCTCTGTGTTTTTTTGGTAAATTCTGTATGCTGAAGATGCCCCATAGTCTAATATTAAAAATGCCAGTTGCCCGTTGTTTGCAAGATGTGTAATCTTAAAATACCACAGAATGGTTAATAGTCTGGAGCCTGATACTGGTAAGCAACACAGAATAGAGTGAAAACCAGGACTTTAAAATTGTTTTGGGGGAAAAAAAAGTATTTTCTGTAGATAATAATGGCTTCTTCCACAGCCTTTCAGCCCATCAGAAATGCCAAGTCTGTGTCTTTGCTTAGTAGCTACATAAGGTTATCTCTGCAGAAGGTTTTATTTCTGCATTTCCCAACAATCTAGTACAAAATTGACCTTATTGTGCTTACAGGTGTGGAACAGTGGGGAACATCTGTAGCATAGTCTCATATTTATACAGCACTTTTATGTTTTCTGACAGTCTGCTTTTTTTAAAAAAAAACAAACCCCACACCTGCGAACTTGCAGATTAAAAGACTGAGGCTAAAGCCTGTCAATGCTGATTGCCATTTAAAATCTTGACTGTCTTTCTGTGCGCAGGTGCAACCTTCCTCCTCTATCCAGTGAATACAGCAAGGACGTTGGATCGAAAACACAGCTGGTGACTGCAAATCCCAGTATAATTCAGAAAAGGTAGAGAGCATGTTGTTCGTTCTCTTGCCGGGGAAACAAAAAGAAAAATGCTTCATTTGTGTTATAGATATCAGTGCATCAGAGTTATGTTCTTAATGATCTTCTGAACTTGGAAAAGGATCTAGAAATAATGAAATAGGCAACGGCTTGGCATTAGGTGAAAGAATACAAGACTAAGCCCCTGATCCTTTCGCTGTAAGCAAGGAAACTTAGGGAAGCTGGCTTTTACAGAGTTATTTTGCCTATCAGGCTCCCTCAGTGCTTCCAGCTCCCTCCCTTTACCGTGCGCTGGGCATGTGCCAGAGGTACTTTGGCTGCTCCCAAGCCACGCATGTACTGATGGGTGGCTCAAACTACTCTGCAGGTCATATCAGTTGGCTGCTGCATCCCACAGTTAATGAAGATACTAATTTGGGTTTCTCTGCTTCACCACTGATAACATCTGGGTCCTTACTATCTTTGTATTATTTGTTTGATACTGCTTTATGAGTACAGAAGTGGCTAGGATGGAACTGATCAGCACGTTGTTATCATACAAGCCTTACTTTCTTGGGAAACGGACAAAATTTTGTTATTTGAGTTGGTTGAAATTTTCCAAATGTCAGTAGCTGATAAGAAAAGGAAAGGGGGGCAGGGAGGGGAGTCAATGCCATCTCTCTGATTTTGCCTGCTTGAATTTTAATTGCTATGTTATTTGTTTATCACCCGGAATGAGGTAGGCTGTTCCCAGGCAGAACAAGATCTGGTAGTAACCTGCCATGTTCACTGAAAACCACAGAGGAAAAAAAAACATAAACCAAGGGGATGAACAGGAAATGATTAGGCATAAAGAAATGTATAATGCAGGTACTGGGAGGTGAAGGATTGTGAAAGGAAGCAAAGCAGGGAAATAAAATGAATAATAGAAAGCCAGCTGTTTTAGAAGGAAGAAAGGCACATACTTGGAAATGGATGTTTGATGGTATTTAAATGTAATATTTTTCCTCTCTATCAGGAACTGAAGGGTTCTCTAGTTTTGTGTGTGTGGAAAAAATGACAGCCTTTGACAGAGTAGAAAAGAAAGGGTGAGTAAGAGGGAAATGGAGTAGTAATCAGCTTCAAGAGCTGATTCCAGGCAGAGAGTGTCTGAATAGGAGCTTGTGGGATGAGATCAAAGCAAACCAAGCAGAACTAGCAGAGGATGGCACCAGGTGCCAGGCAAGAAACAGCTGCTCAGGGCAGTGGACCTGAATGTGGGGAATCTGAAAGTCCTGTGGGATGTAGATGGCTAACGAGGTTGATTTAAGAAGTTGGATGAATTGTCCAGAACACCCCATCAAGGAAAGCAGATCAGTTTGGCCATGGCATTTTGAATAAAATGGAGCAGTGTGAAACATGAAGCTTACAAAGGACTTTACAGATGTCAAGGCAAAGGTTTATTAAACTCATGGATATTTATTTTGCGCACTGCCCCCAACAAGGCCTATCATGGAAAGCTCACTGTACTTACTATTTTTGATCAGATGAGGAAAAGAATTTTTAGGGATGCTACAGGGAGACTGTGAAGTCACACTAGAGAGACTGTTGAGTTATCCAGCAAGAAAGAAGGGAAGGAGTGAGCAGATGGTTAAAGAAGCAGATGGAGAGAGTGAGATGCTATTTTGTGAGAGGGGGATATCACAAGGAGGAGTTGACGGGGGGAGGGAAATGGGAAAAGAGAAAGGGAGGCAGGGATAGATGGGGAAAAGGAAACGTGATTGTGGGCAGTGTCAGTTTTCAAAGTGAGTGGACCATAACTGGGATGCAAGACCTTTGAGATAGTAATGTGGGATGTATATGCCCATGTATTGATTAGGAGAAGATACACAACCTGTGACTGAGAATGGCATAAAGAAAAATTCATACTGCTGGAAATTGGCAGAAGCCTCTTCTGAGGCTTGGAGATCTTGAGAGATCTGATACTTTGCTTTCTCTGCCTAGTCAGGAAGCATTTTGGTTTTGTTTTTTAAGATAATATTTTAATGATGTTTCCTGTATGCTGTCCAAACTCATTATTTTACCTCCTGTGTGGTGTTAGAGTTTGAAAAAAAGGTTAAACCTGGAAGTGAAAATAGAAAAAAAATACTACTACTCTATAAACAAATAATCAATTTCTGTGGAAAGAAGCTTTTTAAGGAATTAAGATTGCTTGTAACTCCAGACTTCTGTGAAATTCAAGGGCATTCAGATGGGTGACTGATATGTATCTGTTTCTAAGCTATGAGTTAACTAGCTTCACATGATAGTATTCATTATCATTCTTCCCCTCTCCCCTTGTCCTTACTTTGACTAGGTTGATATTGATGAGGCTTGACATCTCAATTATCTCTCAAGTGTGTTATGGCAGATTTAGTGAATTGGTCCTGCAACACCATTCATGCTTCTAAAAGATTTATCCTTATCACATAATTGATGATGTGTGTTGGATAGGGCAAAATTTTCATACCAGGGATGTGGAGGCAATTTTCTGTGTTGTTCTAAACTCAGAATTATTGCCTTTAGAAAACAAAATTGTTGGTAGTAATTACTGCAGAGTGATATCTGAGCTACCACCATTTCTCTCTAGACTTACAGCCTTAGGATGAGAGTCAAGATTTTCATCTGGGAGTACATTGACTTTAGAGATAGCTTCTAAACGTTGTCTTTTGCAAAACAAGAGATGAAGTTCTTACTTTGTTTAGGCAGGAAATGTGACACTGCAGGTAGTACACCTTTCACTTGTAAAATACTGTGCTCAGTCATCATTTGGGTTTGAAAAATGATGAGGAATTTCCTACCCTAACTTTGCTTCATATAATATAGGAGTACTGGAAATAGATGTATTATAATAGAAATTTCCCTGGCTGACTAAGAGGATGCATGATGGCTGCCTCAGTTGTTTTTGTTGGGGTTTTTTTGCCTAAATATTTCATGGGCATCTCCTGTCAGTTAATATTGGAAGTCACTCAGTCCTTTGAGCCTGTGTAAACCTCGTTTTTTCCACTTTGCATTCAAAGCTTACTTCTCTGTGAATCCCTGGTTCGAGGTTGCAGTCAGGATTGAAATGTTGCATAAAGCTACTCCTGGGACTGCTGTGACCTCTTCCACCCACTACCCCTCAGCACTGTTGAGGGACTGCAAAAAAGTTCATATCTTTGATGTTTCTGGTTCATCCCCCTACCACCCTAGTCAGCTCGGCCTTGTCTGTATGGAACCACTTTGTAGGCAGAAAGTTATTCTATGTGTGTCCTGGTTTTTATTTTCTTTCCAGGAGTAGCTGCTGTAAGTCCCTGCTGGGAGAGAGGCAGTGTACTAGTGAGACCTGTGATGTGCCTACAACCATTCCTAGGCTCTCGGAAAAATCAACAAGGTTATGCCATTTGCAGTGATTGTTTCTATATTCTGAACACATGCCTATAGCTATGGAGAGGGACTAGTCAGTGGATCGCACATGAATATAAAAATACTTAGATAGGTAATGATGACTTTTGACCAATGGCATAAGATTTTTGACAAAGAAATGTGAAGAATTACTATTTGGGATGCAGATATTATGTGTTTATGAAGTCACTGGCTCTGGGCTGTTTAAGAGAAGCAAATTCTAGCAATTTCTTACCATCTTCAGCCGCAGTTGCATGTCATATGATAATGCTCTTTTCTCTAAACTTTTAATCAAATCTGCAAATAAATGCTGTTTGCAGCAATCTTCCTTTCCAGTTGCCATTTCTGCTTACTCAGTCTAACTCACGCACATATATATTATCATTAATGTAGATATAATAGTCTGAATAGTTGGTTTTCAGCATTCATTAAGTTTCCGATTGGCTGATGTCTGTTGGTATTCTATTCATGAGCTGTGTGGGTGTTTCTGACTGGTGTAGAAGTAATGTCATTAGAAAATGGCACAATGCCCATGGTAGCTTTCCTTATTCCCCATAATCAGCATTGGTATAACTGATAGAAGCCCCTAAGGTCTGTAACACACACTTCCGAACACTGTCTTTGAGATGCAATCTGGTAATTGTTTGAGTCACATGAAGCTTTTCCCCCTTCTCCTTTCAGGGTGCTGTATTTTCTCAGCACTGATGGTGCTAGAAGGAAG